TTACATTGGAGGCAGCAGAATGCAAATAAAATATATTGGGACAACTTTTTATATTTTCTTCGGCTGGTTAAAGAAGGTTTTTATGCCGCAAGGTGTTTATATGCTGTGGGTTAAATAATCAGTTACCAACCCCAACAGCAGGGCAAAAAGTGGCATCTATCCTCTGCAACTCTTGTGGTTTTTTGGTTTGCAGGTCAGCTATTAAAAACCGTCTCGACACAAGCTGTGAATAACCTGGAAAGTTCCTACCAGACCTCTCTACCGCACCCGTATGCAGATATTAAAGAGGCGAACACACGATACCTCCTCCATCTCTCTACTAGCCATATGGAACCCAGATAGTTGTAGCTGGGCAGCGATTAAGCAAACCAAAGTGACTAGGAATAAAGGACACTAAAATTTAATTCCCGTGAAACCATGTTAAACACCCTCCTTTGTTATTAGGCTCTACCTGTTGGCTATTGTTTCAACGACTAGCGATGGGAATGCTTGCCAGCGGGTACACTCCCTTGTCTTCTTAATGCATTTTCTACATATTTTGACACCTCAGATCAAGCAGAGTTGACGAGAGGAATCAATGATGCTGAGGTTAAGCATCACCTTGTTTGCATGGAAATTAGTTTGCCCACACTTTGGTGAGTAAGTGTTTTCCCCACGGTACCGATTACTTTATGATGGCTGACAAGGTAGGCTGAGGAAGAGGAGCGCCGAGTAAAACACTCAGTAAAGGTGAGGGGCTATGTAATGCGTTGGTTGTTCGTGTAGCTCTCCATTATGCAAAAGGGGCTATTGTGTGTCTCCGTCATTCTACCAATGCCGGGTAAATTTGCTTCTGTCCCATGTCAGTAGTTCTGAGTCCTACCGTATGAACAATGCATATTCATTTTTCGTAGTCAAGTTAGTCTGAGGGTGCAACAATACTAAAGTCTCAGATCGTTTCCAGGTTCACTAACGAAATTTACTTGTGCAAAAAGTATTTTAATATTGTTCCACCTCTTCATGCAATGTTAAAATCCACACAGGACAGTGCCACTTTATTTGCGTTAAAAGCTTTATCAAACATGCTAAAATTAGAGCTTAATCAGAAACCTGGTAAGGAAATATAGTTTTTTGGGGAAAGGCCTTGGGGATTAACCTCTTTTCATTTATCCAAAATATAAAATCTTCGTAGTTGTAGTAAATCGAATTGAGATGGAACTAATCTCTTGGTCATAGATTTGAACAATTTTTTTCTGATTTTAAATTGAGATCAATTTGTACGTACAAAAATGGTGATATGCCGCTTACAGACACCGAAAGAGCTTACCTTTCAGTTCCTATTACTAGGGGATCTAACTGACTTAAAGA